GTTCCAATGGTCCGACGCTTGTGAGAAAAGTTTTTAGGAATTGAAGTCGAGATTGACCTCGGCGCCGATATTGACCTTGCCGGAAGGCACGGAAGGATTTGTGGTTTATTGCGATGCCTACAGGGTCGGTTTGGGGTGTGTGTTGATGCAACATGGGAAGGTTATAGCGTATGCTTCAAGGTAACTCAAGAATCACAAGAAGAATTATCCGACGCATGATTTGGATCTTGCGGCAGTTGTATTTGCCTTGAAAATATGGTGGCATTATCTTTATGGGGTCCATGTGGATGTGTTCCTGAACCACAAGAGTCTCCAATATTTGTTCAAGCAGAAGGAGTTGAATTTAAGGCAGCGACGGTGGTTAGAATTGATCAAGGATTATGATATAGATATTTTATACCATCCAGGGAAGGCAAATGTGGTGGCCGACGCTCTCAGTCGAAAGTCCATGGGTAGTTTGGCTCATTTAGGAGCGGATCAGAGGCCTTTGGATCGGGAGGTTTATCAATTAGCCAGTCTGGGGGTTCGTATTTCGACCTCAGATGAGGGGAAGGTTATGGTGCGTAATGGAGCAGAATCATTACTGGTAGCAGAAGTCAAGGGAAAGTAGCTCATTGATCCAGCATTAGCAGAGATGAAGAAGGTAGTTTTGAATAACAAGACTTTGACATTTTCACTCGGTGGTGAGGATGGTGTATTACGATGTCAAGGTAGGCTATGTGTTCCAAATGTGGATAATCTTCGGGGGAGGGTAATGGCGGAGGCTCATAATTCCAGGTATTCTGTGCACCCAAGTTCTACAAAAATGTACCGTGATCTCAAGGAAATTTATTGGTGGAACGGTATGAAGAGGGGTGTGGCGGACTTTGTATCTAAATATCCGAATTATCAGCAAGTAAAAGCTGAGCACCAACGGCCCGGTGGGTTAACTCAGCTTATGGAAATACCAATGTGGAAATGGGAGATGATCAACATGGATTTTGTGGTAGGGTTACCTCGCACTCAGTGCAAGTTCGGCTCAATTTGGGTAATAGTGAATCGACTCACCAAATCAGCTCACTTCTTGCCAATCAAGTCCACGGATACTGCGGAACAATATGCTCAATTGTATATCAAGGAAATAGTAATGCTTCATGGCACTCCACTTTCTATTATCTCAGATCGAGGGGCCCAGTTCACAGCTAATTTTTGGAAGAAATTTCAGCAAGGTTTGGGTACTCAAGTGAATCTCAGCACGACTTTCCATCCGCAGACTGATGGTCAAGCGGAGCAGACTATTCAGATGCTTGAAGATATGTTACGGGCTTGTGTCTTGGATTTCAAAGGTAATTGGGATGATCACTTGCCACTTATAGAATTTGCTTACAATAACAGATTTCATGTTAGCATTCGGATGGCCCCATTCGATGCATTGTACGGGAGGAGTTGTAGGTCTCCGATTAGATGGTTCGAAGTGGGTGAAGCAGAATTGTTAGGGCTAGATCTCGTGCACCAGGCTATGGAAAAAGTTAAAATCATTCAGGAAAGGCTGAAAACTTCTCAGAGTCGCCAGAAATCTTATGCGGACATTCATCGAAGAAAATTGGAATTCCAAGTAGATGATTGGGTGTTCTTGAGGGTATCTCATATGAAGGGAGTCATGCGATTTGGGAAGAAAGGGAAGTTGAGTCATAGATATGTCGGGCCGTATCGGGTCACTCAAAGGATAGGACAGGTGGCCTATAGACTGGAATTGCCCCCTGAAATGTCATTAGTGCACCCGGTGTTCCATGTGTCTATGTTAAAGAAAGTGGTTGGAGACCCATCCACCATCGTGCCAATCGAGGCTATCGAGGTCAATGAAGAGTTATCATATGAAGAAATTCCGGTCGCTATTCTTGATAGGCAAGTCCACAAATTGAGAAACAAGGAAGTTTCTTCAGTTAAAGTGCTATGGCAAAGTCAACAAGTCGAGGAAGCCACGTGGGAAACGGAAAGTGAAATGAAAGAAAAATATCCCCATCTGTTTGAACAAGTCAAGTAGTGATCGTGCGAACTCTTGTCTCTAAGTAAACTGATGTTGTGTTCAATCTGGTGCAAAGACACCCCATATTTTTCCCTAAATGCTTTAATATTGTAACTCCTCAAGTTGTGCAAGAATTGTATGTGTTGTGATTAATTGAGTCATGTGCAAGCCCCTTTTTGGTAAATGAAAGTTTTGTAAGAACTCATGTGATAAGTGAATGATTAAAGGCAGTGTAGATTGGTAATGATTAATTGGAATACATATAGTGTATTGGAGTGGTTGAACTGTATGGAACTCATTGAAGTGGCCAAATTATGTGCAGGTGTTGAGGTAATGAATTGTATACAAGTTGTAGGGATAATAGGGATAGCGTAATGGTGCTTGGAAATAATGTTTTGGGGGCTCTCTGACAGGTAGATAAGTCTAATTACAAAGGGAACTCTGGCAATATTTTTTTCTTTAAAAAATTGGGAGTTTGCATATCATGTTATCAAAACCAACCTATTTCCAAAATCCTCATTCGAGGACGAATGATTTTAAGTGGGGGAGGATGTAAGGCCTCGTGAAAACTTGTACTCAAAACCGGGTAGCTCGTGGTGCCAAATCCCGAATATATGTTAGGAATGTGTAAAATTAAGCGAGCCGCGGTTCGGACCCTTTTGGTACTGATCTACGTTATAAAAAGTCAAGAAATACTGTTTTCCAGGAAATGCAATTCTGCAGTCTAGAATGCGGTCGCATAATAGATATGCAGACCGCATAATCGCAGCAAAGTGAGTTAGTGTGTTGGTTGAATTGGAGGTTAAATATGCGGTCCAATATGCGATCGCATAACAGATATGCGGACCGCATAGTCGTCACATATTTCCCTTGGGATTTTGTGAGGGGTAGTTCTGCGGTGCACTATGCGACCGCATAATGGGTATGCGGACCGCATTTCTGCCACATACCCAAGCAGTGTGTTCAGATTTTGGGAGCACTTTTGCGGTCCATTATGCGGACCGCATTTCCACTCTGCAATCGCAAAGTGCGATCGCATACCTAACTTGGGCTCCTATTTTTCTAAATTTTAAATCTGACCCCTTCTTCAATAAAACACCCCAACCCCTTATNGCGTCCCTTTTGCCGGGGGCGCTACATTCGTGTTATGATTGCAGGTGGTTCCATAACAGGTACTCCAGCCCACCGACAGTAGCACTCCTTCACCTCCCGTCAGCTGAATTGGTGAGCCCCTTTCCTCTCGGGGCCCTGCGTGGCTTATGCCGCTTATCTACCCCAAAAATTTTATTTTGGTATTTGCGTAAGGTATAGCCGGAGCCTTGTTACCGGCAAGTATTGTAACACTCTTCTGTATCTCTAGAGGCTCCGTAGACAGGAAATATGGGTTATGTACTTATGTATTTTGGGCAGTATAACTTGTAAACCACGCCAAGTAACTATGTATGTTATGTAAATCTCGTAAGAATGTGTTTAAATTTATAAATGGCTATTTCACTTGGTTAATGGGTAATGGAAACGCAGGGTATTATATGGAATAGGAAAGGCACCCAGGTCCGCTTGGCTGGGGGCTACCCGGTTGAGCGCCGGTCGCGCCCCTCGGTTTTTGGGGCGTGACAAGCATGACAAGCCAAGTCGATGAATCTGGTCTCATACTGGGTAACAGTCATGGAACCCTACTGGAGACGCTCAAACTGCCACCGATAGGCCTCTCTGAGTGATGGGGAGAAACTTCTCCAGAAATAGCTGAGTAAACTACTCCCAATCAAAGCTGGCGATCCGGCTGGTCTAGCCAAATAGAAATCCCTCCACCAAATCTTGGCGGATCCAGACAAGCAAAAAGTAGCAAAATCGACCCCATTGGTCTCAACTATCCCTATGTTCCTGAGAACCTCATAACAGTTGTCTAGATAATCTTGGGGATACTCAGTAGATGCACCACTGAAAGTATTAGCAAAGAGCTTGGTAAACCTATCCAACCTCCACAAAGCATCGGCAGACATAGCTGCTCCATCATCGGTCTGAGCTACCACACCCGGCTGAACTGCTCCAACTAGCTGAACTGCTGGAGTCTGAAACTGGGGAGCTACCTGCTCCGGAGTGCGCGTAGCAGGAGTTTGGGCTCCTCCTCCAGCCTGAGAGACGGCTGGTTCTACAGGAAACAAGCCTGCCCGGGTGACACTCTCCATAAGGCCCACTAGACGGACCAGAGCATCCTGAAGTACTGGGGTATCAATAAACCCCTCTGGGAATCGCCTCAAATGGGAAGAACACAGGTGCTTTGCTTTTATGGTGGTATTCTTGGGTCTTCTGGTATTTCATACGAAAGATGGAAATATCGATATACGGATAGCTGGAGTCGTCAACACTTTGCTTACTCAGGACAAAAGCACCCTCGCACCTATGATAGTGTATGAAATCTTCCACGCTCTCACAGCCTGCAAAGCCGGAGGATACTTTTTTGAAGGGTGCAATTGTTGCTATAGATGTGGATGATTGAACATCTATATCATCGTCCTCAATACATGAGCTATGGGTCGACAGAGAAAAACTACATAGAGGAATTTTATACAAGGGTCGATGGGTTTAGCCTGCCAGAAGGGGTCACAGAATGGATATCACATCTCCGTTCCATCACTGCAGACCAAATAGAATGGATGTTCGGGTGGCTTCCTATAGATGAAATCGTATACATGCTAGCTACCGGACCTTACTTCCTCCTGATGGGTCTCAGAAGTATCCAGCCTTATTCCCCATACCGGGTTTTGAGACAGTTGGGAAGATCTCAAATAGTTCCAAAAGATGAAGACCTTAGTGCTCAGGTAGTCGAGATTGGTCCTGATGGTCAGTTTCATGAAGCAGTAGTCTGCCAGATTTGGAGCGAGTGTCAGTACCTGACGGCAAATACCTATGTGTGTGATCTATCTAAAGGTGAAGTTTCACCAGGGTACCTTGCTTGGTATAAAAAGGAAATTGAGTTTGGAAGGGCGGCCAAAAGACCCCATCTTCAAGAATTTGTTGAGGCATTACAAGCGCAATGGGATTGGTTGGCCAAAGAAAATGAATATAGGGCTACCATAAGCAAGCTGGAAAAGCAAGTCAAGGACCTTCAATTCGAGAATGGTTTGCAAGACGCCGCAGACGAGGGTGAGAAGAAAAAGCTAGCCAAGGAGAATGAAGCCCTTCGAGCCCAGATTCGGGAAATGAAAATAGCAGCTGAAAATCCCACCAGAAGTGCAAAAGATGAAAAGCTTATAAACAACCTTAGGCAGAAGGTGAGTGAGTATGGTTTTGATTTGAACAAGGCGGAGGGTGAATTAACAAGGGCTCGAACAAAATTGACTAAGAATGCGGAAGAACGAGAGCGCTTGGTTAAACAGTTAAAAGAAAGATATGACAATGAGGTTGTGGGGTTGAAGAAAAAGGGTAACCATCTTTGAGAACAAAATGATCAAGCAAGCAAAAGACTTTAAGGCAGAAAGAGAACATTGTTATGCAGCAATGGCACAATTAAAAAGAGATTTGCAACAACTTCAAGAACAGAATCATATAGCTGAACAAACTTTGGAAGCTAGGGCCCAACAGATTGGGCGTTTGTTGCAAGAAAAGGGCGTCATAAGAGAAAGGGTCAGAAGGATCGCCGACTACATCACAATGAAATGTAGTAAGTGTGAGGACATGACTAGATCCATGTTCTTCGCCACTGTGATGACCTTTGTCCGCCAAATAATGGAAGATCTCTACCATCTCCAAGGGAATTTGGCGCGTAGGCCCATGGAGAGACTGAATGATGTCCCGCGGGCCCCAGGAGCAGTTGAGGCATTAATGTATTCATGATTTTCATTGGAGTCTGTTAGTCTGTATTTTCATCTTGGAGTCTGTTAGTCTGTTTTCTAGTCTGTGTTTTCATCTTTCCATTGTAGTATGTTAGTTTCTTCTTCAAGTCTGTTAGTTTTTTGAGTCGTGGTAATCAAAACGTTCATTTTATGCAAAAATTTGAAAATTTCAAAATATTTTTATTATTTATTTTCACACTTATCGCCCAGAACTACGCAAAGATCTGATTCATGCGGGGTCATGATACGTAGGCAATCTCTATAGGATTTGATCATAACCAAACAGAAAAAGAGAGATAAAAGAAAAAAAAGAGGGAAAGAGAGAGGAAAAACAAGAGAGAAAAGAAAAAGAAAAGAGAGAGAGAGAAAATAAGAAACCGTGAGAAGGAAACAATGGCAAAACAAGAAAGAGAAATGAGAGAATAAAGAACAATGAGAAATCAAGCAAAGAAAGGCAAGAGTGGAAAAAGAAAAGTTTCCAAATGGAAATTAAGGAAAAGCCGGGATGACGCAAGCAAACGATCAGATGCATAATAGAAATGGTTAGCTGCTTAGGTGTATTCATTCCCTAATGTGCGGTTGCCTATCTGTTAAGATCTAATCACTAACAAGTTTGTTGTTGACAATCTAGTACAGGAAGGTGGTTAGTTTGTTTGGCATTCTGGCAACTCACCCATACAACACCCGGTCCAAAAACAAGTTGATCATGGCTAATCAAGAGCTTGATGCGAGTGTTATCGATCCTTCGAGAGAGGTGGCAGAGTCGGATGTTAATTTGATGAAAAAAGAGATGTATAAGTTGAAACAACAGATGGCCGAAATGTACCAGGCATGGGCAAAAGGGCAACCACTACCAGCTTACCCCTCCAACCCTGCCTTCATCCCGCCATTGGCTCAGTCTCAGGAACCTCCTGCTACCGATTCATCCCCGAGCTTTCCCATTTACCAGCACTACCTCCCAAACACCACCAGCTCCACCACCCAAACCAGTTCCATACCCTCCTCAACCAGCCACTCCCGTCTTTGTGGCACCCCCACCCGCTACACTCTACAGGTCTTCCAACGAGCCTTTATTCCAAGCCCATATCAACCAATATTACCCCCCGGAGCCCACTTTCAAAGCTCCAGAACCCTATTCCTACACTACTCGTTTTGATCTCCCTGTGGAAACTGAGAAGCCATCTA